AGATCTGTCCTTCAAGACTCTGAGACTGCCCGTCTTTTCACCTCGGAGCCGGCGGGTGGTCTGCCAGAATGCTTTGTTTGCCGTGTGGAAATTCGACTCACCGAACACCTCACCGAACTTCTTCCAGGAATCAGTCTTGGCTTTTGCCACTGCTGTTACTAATAATCTTAATATATATGGAGTTCATTAAGTACTTAATTTTTTGTCATAGGCATGTATCGTTTAGATAGTGTTCTACAAAAACGGCGTCAACCAAGGTGTAGCATTCAGTGATATTTATGCAGGCACTTACTTCCCGGCTGTGTCGCTGTACAAGAATATATCGGTGTCTGCGAATTTTGGTCCACGCTTCATGTTTCCTCCGAAAGATGTTTCCTTCAAACCGGTAATGCCTCTTTACATAATTATGTATGTATAATGTAATAACTCTGAAAAATCATGTGACATGAGCTTGAGTAAGTGTCGGCATGTCAGAACAATCTATTCGATATGTCGATGCTTCATTTCATTAAAACATTATTTTGAATCCATGCTAAGGCTATGTTTTTTGAGATTGTTTTTTCAGGATTTTGTTGGGACGCGACTTGCCGTTTGGGACGTATTACTGGAAAGTTGCTATTTCGATTAGTTTTGATAATAGAGTTAGAGATTCGTAATAGAGTCAAAAGCCTTTTTGGGTAGTTTTTCATTACCTAAATTTCACCTTCTGCGCTATCCTTAGAAGCTAGTGCAGTGGAAATGGAGTTAAGCAACGTTAAAGGTTAACCTTAGCCTGTTTTATGATGCACAGCAGAAAAGCATTTTAAAGAACTCATAGCATCTTACTTATGATGCGTCTAGCAAACGTCCAGTTCTAGTAGATATGTCCAATTTCTGCCTTCCAAAAATCACGTTTTTAATCGTTTACGGTTTACGCCGAGTTGATTAAGTGAATTATCGCTCAGGCAGCATGGTCGCGCAAGCTGTCACATGACTAGCTAGAACGTTACAGTGGTGTTGTCATATTAACCGTTTTATTCGACTGCGTCAGCAGAGGGTGGTTTTTGTCTGAAGCGATTAGAAGCTAATAATGGTAGTGTGTACGCTGAACCTGGGGGTTTGAAACTGGTACCTCTAAAAGTGCAAAACAAACTGTTAATCCATTGTGCCACTTATTGAAGTGAGATTTTCCTTTAGCTGGGATGGCAGAACAGTTCAGTTTTTGCTATATGAAGACTTTAGTGTGTCTTTTTGACATAAATGATGTTTTTTTCTGAATATACTGCCTTTTACTCTTTTTTGTAACCCGTGAAGATACCTGTGGTCGAGAAGGGGTTAGCTGCGGGTGCTGCAGCACGAGGATACTATTTCAGTTATGTCTACCTAATACAGATTTACTTGTAAACCTAGTTCTTCCGCCAATCATCTGCATTTTGCTTTTTAAGCGAATAATGCCTGACGCTGTTGAACTAACAGAATGTCAAAACTGACCTGAATGCATGTCGCAGAGTCGACACCCGAGTAGAAAATCTTC